ATTGAATGTTGAACCTGAACCCCCCAGGGTTGGTAACATCATGTAAAAGATGGGACAAAGTTCTCATAAGACAAGCACAAAGATGGGTTGAATAGATCGTATAAATTTGTGGAGAAAATAATATAGATTTTGGTATAGCTGGACTCGATAGACGAGCTGCCTACGTACCCGAAGCGGGATCAAGCCAAAACGTAGTTCGATTACACCAAAGAGAAAGTATTTAGTCATTATTAGAAATGACATTGTTTGTGTCTAAATAATGGTAAGAAATGTAGAAGGTGAATCTTGTGTAGAAGAATATGAGTCCCCTTTCTTAGAGTCTTCACCTCTCTTTTATAGCCTCTTCCTTCCTTCTAGGGTGTCTTTACTTGGCCATTAAATTTAGAATTAACTCCACAAAATAACTCCAATTTTTGGCAATTAACTCCTAATCTTGAATGACAAACTTAATTCCTTTGACAATGACAATTAATTCATGAATTTAATCACAAATTAATGTCAAGGTTTGACCACCCCCTTTTGCATTATAGGGCTCCTAGGATTTTGTAAAGTGATGGTTCTCCAACATGTAAAATGGACCCCTTGTGGGATCCGGTACCAACATTAGCCCCCCAGTTCTTCGAGTAAGATGATTTGCTCGGAGAACTAATATTCTTGACAATCATGCGGCAATAACTTTGATTAGTAGATTAGGCATGCAAACTTTGTTGTTAGATGCGAGGTGAACTCGTTTTTGCCTAAAGACTTATTCGCGTAAATGCGAGCATTGAGCTCGGCTTTTGAACGTATTTTGCTACGAGGCGAGCTCGGCTTTTTTAACATATTTTAGTGCGAGACGGACTCGGCTTTTAAATGTAGTTCTGTGCGAGCAGGCTCGGCTTTTGAACGTATTTTGGTGCGAGACAGGCTCGGCTTTTTAACGTAGTTCGGTGCGAGCTCGGCCTCGGCCCTTTTATACAAAGTCAAAGTAGAATTTGGTTTCCTGGCCAAGGGGCCTTTATTTTCTTTGTCAGGATATTTTGCCCGAGGGGGTATTAAATTTTCTTATTGGAAGAAATATTTAATTTGGTGGAAACCATCAGTTTTACCTGGAGAGCTTGCAAGGTCCTCCTAACCGAAATGGCTTTAGCTTATTGGAGAGATATGCTCATCAGACCCACTTGCCTTTTTTAAAGAAAAAACATTAGAATTTTTCCTCGGTCTCTCGGATGCGAGGTTAGAGCTCGGCTTACAAAAACATTCCTGATAGTTCGGAAATGTTTGTTCGAAGAAAAGCTAGTGTAAGAACTGTTTTTCTTGAACTGAACTAGAATAATGTTTGAACATTGACTAGAATTTCGCGTTGGAAATTTTGCATAGTAGGTGTCAGTTTGTACTTGAGTAACCTATATTTTGTAGGACTTAAGGCTATACTTTGCGCATGTACGCAATAGCTGAAGAACAAACTCGACACTTAGATTTCACCAGAGTAAATTCATTTTCCGAGCGATGGTACTCGAAAAATCTCTGTGAGACAGAATCTAATTTTTGTGAAGAGCGAACTCAACACTTAGATTCCATCGAAGAAACATATTTTCCGAGCGATGGTACTCGGAAAATTCTCTATGAGGTGGAATCTAATTTTTGTGAAGAGCGAACTCGACACTTAGATTCCATCGAAGTAAACATATTTTCCGAGCGATGGTACTCGGAAAATTCTCTATGAGGTGGAATCTAATTTTTGTGAAGAGCGAACTCGACACTCAGGTTTTACCGAAGTAAATTTATTTTCCGAGCGATGGTACTCGAAAAATCTTTGTGAGACAGAATCTAATTTTTGTGAAGAGCGAACTCAACACTTAGATTCCATCGAAGTAAACATATTTTCCGAGCGATGGTACTCGGAAAATTCTCTATGAGGTGGAATCTAATTTTTGTGAAGAGCGAACTCGACACTTAGATTCCATCGAAGTAAATATTTTTTCCGAGCGATGGTACTCGAAAAATCTCTGTGAGACAGAATCTAATTTTTGTGAAGAGCAAACTCAACACTTAGATTCCATCGAAGTAAACATATTTTCCGAGCGATGGTACTCGGAAAATTCTCTATGAGGTGGAATCTAATTTTTGCGAAGAGCGAACTCGACACTTAGATTCCATCGAAGTAAACATATTTTCCGAGCGATGGTACTCGGAAAATTCTTTATGAGGTGGAATCTAATTTTTGTGAAGAGCGAACTCGACACTCAGATTTTACCGAAGTAAATTTATTTTCCGAGCGATGGTACTCGAAAAATCTCTGTGAGACAGAATCTAATTTTTGTGAAGAGCGAACTCAACACTTAGATTCCATCAAAGTAAACATATTTTCCGAGCGATGGTACTCGGAAAATTCTCTATGAGGTGGAATCTAATTTTTGTGAAGAGCGAACTCGACACTTAGATTCCATCGAAGTAAATATTTTTTCCGAAAGACTGTACTTGGAAAATCTCCGTGAGGTGGAATCTAGTTTTTGTGAAGAGCGAACTCGACACTTAGATTTCACCAAAGTAAATTCAGTTTTCTAAGAGTTGGAACTCCGAGAAATTGCTGGGAAACCACCTTGCAAAGAGGCAGTTTGAATTGGTGGCACTTTCTTGTTGTCACCGAGGTTTGGATATTCTCGAGAGAAAATCTCATTCTTTCGTCGTCACAACTTCGTACTTGAAAGACAAGAAACTTTATGTCCCCACAGACGGCGCCAAATGTTGAACCCGAACCTCCAGGGTTGGTAACATCATGTAAAAGATGGGACAAAGTTCTCATAAGACAAGCACAAAGATGGGTTGAATAGATCGTATAAATTTGTGGAGAAAATTATATAGATTTTGGTATAGCTGGACTCGATAGACGAGCTGCCTACGTACCCGAAGCGGGATCAAGCCAAAACGTAGTTCGATTACAACAAAGAGAAAGTATTTAGTCATTATTAGAAATGACATTGTTTGTGTCTAAATAATGGTGAGAAATGTAGAAGGTGAATCTTGTGTAAAAGAATATGAGTCCCCTTTCTTGGAGTCTTCACCTCTCTTTTATAGTTTCTTCCTTCCTTCTAGGGTGTCTTTACTTGGCCATTAAATTTAGAATTAACTCCACAAAATAACTCCAATTTTTGGCAATTAACTCCTAATCTTGAATGTCAAACTTTATTCCTTTGACGATGACAATTAATTCATGAATTTAATCACAAATTAATGTCAAGGTTTGACCACCCCCTTTTGCATTATAGGGCTCCTTGGATTTTGTAAAGTGATGGTTCTCCAACATGTAAAATGGACCCCTTGCGGGATCCGGTACCAACATTGAACTTTATGTCATTTTACTCTAATAATATCTAATTGTAACTGATGAATATAAAAATATTAATGGGACTCACTTTCTAATGTGTTATAACTTGAATCTCTACATACATATTTAGTACTTTTAAAATTATAAGAGGTACTAGATTTTAACCCGCGGTGTACCGCGCGATGATTTATTTTTAAAGTTAGTATAAAAATATTTTGTAAATTGTATCTCCTTATAATATATTTATTTATATTATAGTTTACAATTGTTATTAAGTAACAGTATACCACGAGTCCACGAGACAATTGTTAATAAACTGAGGATTTAACCCGTATTAAAGCGGCATGTTATTGATATTTATAAATATTGATTCAAATTCGTCCGCCATATAAACCCGTTCCGAAATATAACTCGTTCCGTAATTTCTTAACCGTCCCGTAATTTGTTTTTCTTATAAAATTTAATGATTATTTATTATATATAAAAGTTTACAAATCATATCATTCTCTAAGTCATTTATATTTTAATAAACTGAAGATTTAATCTGTATTAAAGCGGCATGTTAATGATATTTTAAAATTTTATAAATATTGATTCAAACTCGTCCACCATATAAGTTCGTTCCGAAATATAATCCGTCCTGTAACTTCTTAACCCGTCCCGTGGTTTGTTTTCTAAAAGTAATAATTTTAAAAATTAACGATTATTTATTATACATACAAGTTTGCAAATTGTATTATTTTCTAAGATATTTATATTTTATATTTAACAATTGTTATTAAGTAACATTATACCATGGCACAATTTTTGGTTGTATACAATCTTTTCTAAATGAGATTCATTTAATATGTCTAATATTGGTGGTATTAAAAAATAATTAAGGATTTAATCCGTATTGAAGCGGCGGATTAATGATATTTTAATATTTTTATTATTGTTGATTCAAAAACCCGTCCCGCCAAATCCGTCCCGCCAAAATACTCATTTATTTTATTAATGTTGATCTTATTTATGATATGATTCTGAATCATTGTCTAAATATTTTAATCGATGTAGAACGTTGAACACACATTTTCGTCAATTGGATAAGATATGTCCGTTTTTAAAATTTCGAATCACAGTATATGCAGAAAAAAATTGATTTTTTTTTTACTTTATGTATTATATGATGATTCAAAACAGTTAAAAACAAATCAAACAAAGATGATATGAGAATCATAATTCTAAATCTTAATCAAATCTTCTAAATATCTAAATTATTAAATATGGAATATCCGGTGTATGAGTTGGATTAAATATAACCCGACCCAACAAACTTTTTATGAACAAAATTTGTAAACGGGTCGGATATCCAAAATATCCGAGAACAATTTTACCCCCGACTTAAAAGTGACTGAAAAATACTAGATTTCATTATAATATTTGAAAGTGTGAACTCAAGATTTGTGGTATACCAATTTACCAAGCGACCCACATAATTAGCCGGACAAAATAAAAGGACTAATCAATATTTCGAACGTGGAACAATATCGTTTCATTTCATGTGAATCCGCGTTTGTCCTACACGCGCTTCCTTGTACTGTACATCAAACCGATCAAAGTCAGAACGTAATAATAGTTTTTTATATCGATATATCCGGTTCACTCACGTGGACTTGCCACCTAAGTCAAACCTATATATAACTCTCATCATCGAGCACTAATCCATATCTCTTAATTCATTACATTTATTTTCCCCTCTACCTATTTCTTTCTCGTATACACAAATAATAAGAATCTAGCTACTTTGATCTTTTAATCAAGAAAGCAAAAAAGAATCTAGGGTTTTTTTTTGTGGTGGAAGATTTTTTCGTCTTTTATAAAAATGAGGCAGTTTGTGAAATTTTTCCCACTACTGGCCATCGTAATCATAAGCTTAGCCGGAACGGCGACGATAGAGGCTGCGACGGGATTGAACCCTCCGGTGAAGCTGGTTTGGCATTATTACAAAGTTACTAACACTTGTGATGATGCAGAAACTTATATTAGATACCAAGTTGAAAAGTTTTATAAGAATGATAGTAGCATTGCCCCAAAGCTTCTTCGTCTCCTCTACTCCGATTGTATGGTTAATGTAAGTGAAAACAACTAGAACAGTATATACCTTCATTCTTTTTATGACCGATTGTATGTTGTTGATTTATGTAAAATGTGTATGTAGGGATGTGATGCTTCGGTTCTTTTGCAAGGACCAAACTCGGAGAGGACAGCTCCACAGAATCGAGGGCTTGGAGGTTTTGTGATAATCGATAAAATAAAGCAAGTTCTTGAATCACGCTGTCCTGGTGTTGTTTCTTGCGCTGATATCCTCAACCTTGCCACTAGAGATGCTGTTCACATGGTACATACTTGCATGTTCTTATTAACGTAGATGTATCGATCGATTTTTTGAATTTTATTGAATGGTGTTGTTTTGACGAATTCGATGAAATGATGAATAGGCCGGTGCACCGTCTTATCCTGTGTTTACCGGGAGAAGGGATGGAGGGAGATTAAATGCAGACGCCGTAGATCTGCCATCACCGTCCATCTCAGTCGATGAGTCATTGGCATACTTCAAGTCCAAAGGTCTTGACGTTTTGGATATGACTACTCTTCTAGGTATCTCATAGTCTTCTCTTCTTCTTCTTTTTTTCTTTTTTTATTTCCTTTAGAGACAAGCATCTTTTTTATCAGTTCTTCAAGGGAAACGTAATCCCAATGCTATTACTAAAACTTGATTTGTTTGTTTACGTTTATGTTTATATTACTAAAATAACTTTTTGAAAAATCAATCCACATACGTATTTTAATCAAAATCATTTAGAAGTTATAAAAGTATACATCAAATGAACTGTTACCGTCACTTTTTGGCCGCTGCGTTGGAATTTGCAAAAATATTTTATGAAAATCTGAAAATGTTTAATATTTCTATAAGAAAAAAAAAATGAGATTGTAATTTAAGGGTCTAGTAGCTTTGTTTAGTTACTATAAACAATTAATTCTCATTATATGCAAAACTTAAATACTACTATAAAGTTTACAAGACAGTTTCACATCCTAGAAGATTATCCACTAGTAATCCAGAAAGAAAGATATAGTAATATACTTAATTAAAGTGGAGCTAAATAAGTACTATTGGGTGAATATCAACAAGCTCTAACTGTGTAATGAAACAGGAGCACATTCAATGGGGAAGACACATTGCAGCTACATAGTGGACAGACTATACAACTTCAAGAACACTGGGAAACCAGATCCGACCATGAACTCAACATTGGTTTCACAACTTCGATATCTTTGTCCTCCAAGAACACAAAAGGGACAAACGGACCCACTCGTTTACCTAAACCCAGACTCAGGCTCGAGCAACAGATTCACCAGCTCCTACTACTCTCGTGTCTTGTCTCACAACGCTGTTTTGAGGGTGGACCAAGAGTTGCTCAACAACGATGACTCAAAGGAGATCACGCAAGAGTTCGCTTCGGGTTTTGAAGATTTCAGAAAGTCATTTGCTTTGGCAATGTCGAGGATGGGATCTATCAATGTTTTGACGGGAACAGCTGGAGAGATTCGGCGAGACTGCAGAGTTACCAACGCTAATTACGGGGCTTAAACTATATTTACATCTTATCTAATTTATGTGTGTGTTTTTTTGTATAATATAAAAATATAAATTATTTTGATAAAAATATTATCAATAAGGATGTGAAATAAAAAATATATAAATTGCATTCTATGAGATGGAAAATTTAAAATTAATGAAGCAACACAAAGACTATATATTTGACATGTATTATTATGTGAAAAAACAACAACACTCTTGATCACTATAGAAATCCTTATTTAAAACAAAAACATACAATCCATATGGCATATAGAGTGAAAATGAAGTGGTTGGTTACTTTGACAAAAACGCATCGTTTCAAAGATTGAGTTACTTTGAAAAGAGTCCGAGCCACATATGCCACTATTTGAAAAAAATTAATCTGGCGTGCCACCTTATAATCTGAGTGCCACCATAAATGTGATATCCCCAAATTACCCTTAATGAAATTAGGGCGAATTGGTACGGAATAGTACAACTCGGTACAACTAAGAAATAATAATACAACTGGTACAAATGAGAGATTGTATGATAACTGGTCCAAATGGTACAACTGCAATATAATAGTACAACTAGTACAACTATATATAAATAGGAATAATTGGTACAAATGGTACAACTGAAATATAATAGTACAATTGAAACAATTAGTACAACTAACATATGAATAGGGACAACTAGACAACTGGTACAACTGATACATAAATAAGGACAACTAGACAACTGGTACAACTAATACATAAATGGGGACAACTGGTACAAATGGTAAAATTTAAGCAATTTGTAATTATAAACCCTAGCGCCATCATCGTCTCTTCTTGCTTTGTTCATTGTCCACCGCCGCCGATTCTCTTCCACCGCCGATTCTCCTCCACCGCCGATTCTTCTTCGCACTATAAAGCCGATTTGGAGAAATCTAGATCGGGATTGTTGTTAATCTCAGATCTGTGAAAAAAACGAAGATCCATGGATCTAGAATGAGAAGATCGAAGAGAGGGAAGAAAGATCCATGGAGAAAAAGAGATCTATGGAACTAGAATGAGAAGATCGAAGAGAGGGAAGAAAGATCCATGGAGAAAAAGAGATCTAGGGTTTATAATGGTTGATGAGAAACGCAAAAAGAAATCAATGGAGAATAAGAAATCTAGAGTTTTGATGATGATGAAGAGATAAGAAGAATAGAGATCCATGGAGAAGAAGAGATAGAGAGAAAAGAGAAAAAAATCTGGAGAGAAAAAGAAGAAGAAGAAGGAGGCGTGATAAAGAAAATGAGGCAGTTATGTTTTTGTAGTTTAGTTGTGGCAGTGATACGTAAATATTAGATTAGGGTAAGGGTTTTTAAACTTTTTCTATTAATTTCGATTTAAAAGAAAATGAAAAATAAAATTATAAACATGTAGGGGCATAAACGATTAGTTTTTTTAGAAAAAGTGGATGATAAAAATTCCTTTGGAGAAAAGGATACGTCATCACCACTAAGCAAAATCCCAAAGATATTTGCTACTTTAAGCCTTGAGGGTCTCCTCTCCTCAGCTCATGGCCGTCCCCGGATTCTTCTCTTCCACGGCGCTTCTCCGTAATATAATATCTCTCTCTCTCCGAATTTCAACTTTTCAAATTTATCTCTGAACTGAATCGAACAAATACTTGCAGGGCATTGTCCTGTATCGAACACAGAGGATAGAGGAAGCTACTTCCATGTCGCTCCTCGCCCAATTTTTCATCCTCACCTCCTCAACACTAATTCTGGGTACTTTTTACCAATACTTGTGTTGTGTGTGATTCAAAGTTGAGATTTTTATATATATATATTTTGAGTCCTCCTCACATATGATTAATTTACTAGATTTTGAATGGACTTGTATGCACATTATTACTAGGTGTGGATTTCTCAAGTGTAACAGTGACTATCTTACAAGAAAACACCTGCGGAGGAATAGGACTCAAGCCATAGCAGAGTATTTGGGTTCAGCTTCAAATCCTAAGAAGCCAACTGGGAAGTCAAGTTATCATCCTTCAGAAGAAATCAGAGCTTATGTGCCAGAGAACAATCCTCGAGATTCTAGGCTTTCACCTCCAGAAACTGCTAGAACCATCATTGAGGTATTATTATATATGGCATCTTTCAATTTAACCATTTCATTAGTAAACCAATCCTAGGACTGATGTCTTAATGTAAATTACAGTTACATGTTAGGGTGAAGAGTTCTGCTTGCTACCTTATTGTGGTTTCTTTAGTGTTCATCTATCAGAAATTTCTATAGAAACCTTATCTTTATCAGCATGTCTAGTTTGCCTCTACCTGTTTGTTTTTCCAGACCTGGTTTTGCGGATCTGACATTTCCCGTAGTGTGTCTTGTTCAGGTGAACAAAAAAGGAACCCTGATGCTTTCAGGTTTACTTGGTATTGGAGTTCATGAGAATATTCTCTGGCCGGATATACCTTATGTAACAGATCAGCATGGAAGTAAGAATTCTTATTTTTGTTTCTGCTTCGTATTTATTCAGTTGGCTAATTATAACTGTCAATAAATTAATTGAACTACTCTTATGATCTGCAGATATATATTTTCAAGTGAAGGAAAATGAGGATATAATGCAGACTGTTGTTGCTTCTGATAATAATTATGTGGTATGTTGTCTTTTTCATATATATTGTCTTGTTACATACATGAACCTTTATAGACGATTCATTAAAGAATGGATACATTAAGTCATTTTAAGCCTAGCTTTCTCCGTGGACATATCTGTTTTTTTGGAACTGTAGCTAAAGCTGCTTTCTTATTACTCTTGCTCTTTTTTTTTGCTAACTTTACAATCTTATGAATCTAGATGTGCAAAAACATGCTTCAATAATAGTCATTTAGGTTGGTGCCTATATGTTTTTCTTTAGCTTAAATGATTCTACTGCATGATGTAGTTTTTACAGTTGCCATTGTTTTCTCTCTATTCATTTGTACGGAGATAGAGCTGTGATAAGTTACATATATAATGCAGCAAGTGATAGTAGGTTTTGATACGATGGAGATGATCAAGGACATGGAGCTCAGCAGTCCATCTGGTATTGGTTTCGGGATTGAAGAAATCGAAGATGGTGAAAGTGAAGTCGAGGATGAAAACAAGGGGGATGAGGATGAAGGAGAAGACAAAGATGACGAGGTTTCAAAATTTTATTTCAGCTTTCGTTCTCAATTACTGAAGAACTTCACATGGAAAAAACCTGTGTTATGAGTAGCATGCTTCACAAGATATTGTGATCTTAAATCCAGGAATGGGTTGCTGTTCTAGAAGATGGAGATGATGAGGATAATTATGTCTCAGATTCTGATGAATCACTTGGAGACTGGGCAAACTTGGAAACGATGCGGTATTGCCATCCTATGTATTTTGCCACGAGGATGGCCGAGGTTACTTGCAGTCCCAAAATTGATTTGTGATTTATTAAATATTCACCGTGTGAAAGACTATAAAACTTAGTTTCTTTATTTGAATTTAGGTTACTTCAACTGATCCTGTAAATTGGATGGAGCAGCCGTCCGCTGGCCTTGCTATCCAAGGGCTCTTGAGTCGTGTTGTTGTGGAAGATCACTCAGATATCCAAAAACATATCTCTGGTTGCAAATCTACAGGCACTGACAAAAACAAGGAGGGAGTAAACTCAGAAGAGAAATTTGAAGGCATTGGTGAGAATGAATCTGAGATATTGCAGGTTGAAAATTCGAGAAATGCCATAGCGTACTACAAGTTGGAGATAATAAGAATCCAGCTCATCACGGCACAGGGACATCAGGCAAGATTCTCACGCCTTGTCTTATTTTGGTAATTATGAGATCAAACAATATTAGACACCTTAATTAGTCCATGTTCGCATTTGGTTCATAAGTAGTAAACCTGATGGCTCCCATTTTTGGTGTGGCAATTATTATCTATGCTCATGCTTTTGGTTGGTTTTGTATTTTTTTGCTTTTGAACAGACTGAAGTGAAAGTGGAAGACGTCAGGAAAGTACAACCTGATGCTATTGCTCGTGCATCAGATGGTATCTTGACTCGTCTAGAAGAAGATGGCGATAAACTAACTGAAGCTCTCAAATCTCTGTGCTGGAGACATAATGGGATTCAAGCAGAGGTAAAAAAGCTGTAACTTTACGTTACATTACTGGAATTTCAAAATGAAGTTGTTGTATAGCTTTCACGACTATACTGCGACAATCATGATTATATCCATATGGTACTAAATTGTAGGAAATGAAGCTCATCGGGATAGATTCGCTTGGTTTCGATCTCAGGATTTGCTCAGGAATGCAAATTGAGACATTACGGTTTGCATTCTCGATAAGGGTATGTCGATTTTCGTCTTCTATCTTCTAGACTCTGTTTAGTGATTGATGATACATACGCTTATCACAAGACTAAAACAAACCTGTGAACTGACATAACAAATTAACAATATCACTTGGATTAATGTGGCCTGGGAACTTTATATTGCAGGCAACATCAGTACACAAAGCTGAGGGACAGTTGAGAGAATTATTATTCGCTTCGACACCTCCCAAGCCACTAGAAACCAAAACAAACTAGTCAAAAGGAATCTTGATGATGTCGCAACAAGAAACAATGTCAACCGCAATTTCTCGTGTCAATGAAAGTGCCCTCACCAGTGAGATGTGAACTAACTCCTGCTAACGTTAAAGACCGTTTGTGGTCGACAAGTAACTTCAAGGTTGGCTTATTGGAGATTGGTGGGTGGAGAGTCTCTTGTTGTTTGATTGTTTTTCAATTGATTATTGACGCTGTATCTTTGGGTTAATAGAGCATTTGAAATTTAACCCAATTTATTTATACATAAATATATTATAGATAAAGAAACCCCTATTTTGTTGGGAATGAAAAGTTCTCGTCGGGGATTATCGCCTCTGCAAGCAGAATTTGACACCCTTCTTTGGGCAATGGAATGCCTCATCTCAGAATCGATGACGAGTGTTGACTTCGCCACAGATTGCTCCGAGCTAATTTCCATTTCGGATAACTCATCTGAATGACCT